CTCTCTCTCTCTCTCTCTCTCTCTCTCTCTCTCTCTCTCTCTCTCTCGTTGCTGCGTGGCAAATAGAAGGAGGAAGGAGTGTTGGATATGCTCACCGCCTTCTGCTATTTCAAAAAAATAATAAAGGCGGGATATAAATACATAAATAAAAGTAAATAAATAAAAAGAAGGCTCTCATCCAAGTCAATGCAGAAGCATTGAGCTTCACAAAACATCAGATAAGTATCAGATTTTGCCCAGAAAGATTCCAAAACAAGGACAACCAAATAATGCCAAAACAATATCACACCAAAACAAAGAAGTTCCCAGCCCCACATGTCATCACTCAGCTGAACACCTAATTCCCACAGCATTGTCTAATGCCTAAAGATATTCACCCATGCAGTCGGGCTATATTGCTATTATCCTTCTCATGTTCTCATCTTTCCTACTACCATCTCCTATTGGTATCTTATGATTTATGACTTGTTTGTATCCTATGATTTATTATTGTTATGATATATGATCTCATGACTTGTTGGTATGCACTGGGAGCTTATGCACCAGACACAAATTCCTTTTGCGACCAATCACATTTGTCCAATAAAGAATATTCCTATGTTCTCATTTGTCTACGGAGATTCTCAATCATCCTGGTTCTCCCAAAAGTGTTTTTTTTTTTTAAGAGGCAACTGGACTTTCTGGTTTTTCTTTGAAGACATTTCACTTCTCATCCAAGAAGCTTCTTCAGCTCTGACTGGATGGTGGAGAATGGAATATATATATTCCTATTCCTATATAACAATATTTCAAAACAAGGAGAATTTTGGGTTGACTCTAAGTAAGTTGTTCATACCTGAGCCAGCTCCAGGAACACAAGAACATCGCCATCTATATCCACTAACATCTGTGTTGCTTCCATCAAACCAGACACAGTGAACTGTTCTGCGAAACAATAAAAATATAAAATACAATCAGTTGGTTCATTGTGTGGCCCACAAAGAAGATTTAAATTTCTGTCTTGCCAATAACAAACCAACTGAGTTATTGGTGGTCTAAGAATAATAATCTGAGAAATGGTATCATGTATTGTCTTTTTTAAAAAAAAAAATAATAATCCCATTCACTGAAAACTGAGATGAATAAAAAGGCACACAGAAACTTTTCACACTTAGAGTGCGTCCAAAATGGACAATCAAAAATAAATACGATGTTTATTTCTGATATTTGGTGTTTATTTCCTATGTTTGGCATTTGAAACGACTCATCGTTTCATAGATGGGAAAAGAGACAGCGCAACGTGGTTCTTAGAGTTACCTGTGAGTGCAACCAGGTGTGGCAGACACAAGCGGTTGGCCAAGATGATGAGCTTCATGTAATCAAGGTCTGAAGAAGAATAAAACTGGCCAGTATACAGGTACTCAAGCACGGCTCGCATGCAACTCTTACTGGTGTATGGTAGCACTACCTGCAATGATGAGGATAGCAAGGGGTTAAATCTGTACCATTTTCAGGTGCAACCACCAACCAACTGTGAGTTCTAGTCCTGCCTTAGGCATGAAAACCAGCTGGGCGACTTTGAGCCAATCACCAGGAGATGATTTGCTTTGGCCATGAAAACTGGCTGGATGACTTTGGGCCAGTGATTCTCAGCCCAACTCACCTCACAGGGTTGTGGTTGTTGTGGGCACAAGAGGAGGAGGGGGAGGAAGAGGAGGAATATTATGTACTGTATGTTCACCATCTTGAGTTACATATAAAGGCAGGCAAATTAAATAAACACATAAATAAATTTACTTCTCAAGGTTGTCTCACCTCCTGAGTTGAGCTCTCAACAAATGGACCCCCAAACATGGCAGCCATCCAGTCACAACTGGAGATCAGCAAGGGCTTGTGGGCACTGATAGCACCATCATCCAGTATAAAAGTGACATCTGCGAAGAAGGAGAACATGCTAAGCACATTGCTTACATAATAGTTACGCGTCTGTCACGCTGGAAACAGAGGTCTAGATCAGGAGTCTCCAACTCTGGCAACTTTAAACCTGGAGGACTTCAACTCCCAGAATTCCTCACCCAGCATAATCTAGACCCCCACTGGTCTAGATTATGCCTATTTCAAAAAAACTTGCCAAGCCTGGTTTAAGAATGACAAAGAGGCTTTTGTCCGTTCAAATATGGCTAGCTGAAATTTCTGAAGGCTGTCATTTCCTAGCACTGGAAGTTTAGGTGAGTAAACCAACAAGCCATGAATACAAATCCATCTGTGGTGACAGCATTATGCTCCAATTGAAACTACGTTCCAGATTGGTGCTCTTTCTATCAACTCTATGATTTTAGACTAACATGCAGCCCAGTCAGAGTGTGTGATACACTCACTTCATTATTTCACACCAAGGCAGGAAACCTGGACCCTCAGACCAAAACTATCTTCAGGTAGCCTTCGACTTCTGTGATCACCATTGAGCCCCAAATTTCCACTGCTAAGCAAGGTGGTTGTTAAGTGAGTTTTTTGCCTCATTTTGCAACCATGGGTGTCATGAGGGTCAATGGCTATTAGGCTTGATGGCTATATGATTTTCTCTGAAGGCCATCTGGCAAGGAACCAGTGAACTCTCTTGTCCAGTTGGGTGGCCACTGTGAGAAGAGATTGTGAGACCAAAAGAGCCACTAAAGTTTTTCTGTTAGATTCTCATGTTCTCATCCCTGAAGCTGGCTGAGGAATTCTGGGAGTTGAAGTCCACAAGACTTAAAGTTGCCAAGGTTGGAGACCCCTGGCCTGGCCTAAAGCATCTCCAAAGATGCTTTTATTTTAAAGGCCACTGGACTTTTTGAGGCTAAAGGCAACTCCCATCCACCCCCCTTTTGCTTCTCATTCAAGAAGCTTCTTCAACCCTAACCACCTGGTTACCATCTACCAACCAGCTGGTTAGAACCGAAGAAGCTCTTTGAATGAGAAGTGAAACATCTTAAAGAAACATTTTAAAAAGTCCAGTTGCTTTTAAAATAAAAGCACCTTTGGGATACCATGACCTGGAAGAATGGGAGCCTCCACAGATGTTTACCCCAAAGTAGTGTTTTTTTAACCTTGCCAGATTTTAAGCTATGTAGGCTTCAACTTGCTGGCTGAGGAATTCTGGGGATTGGAAGTTAATATATCTTAAAATTGCCAAACTTATCCTAAAGGCACAACCCAAAAGCTACAGACACTCTGTTTTATGATTGTTCCACCCACAACAGGGACAGGGATAATCAAGATGAGCATGTTTGGCAACAGCTGGATACGGAGGATAAAAATAGGAGAGCACTGCATGCTGCAGAATGATTTTATGAAACCCAGATGCCACATTAAACACCACTGTTAAACCAGTGTTCGCCGAGATGCCTGGAATAGTGAAACAGCCGGCCCTCTTGTCTGACAGCAGGCTTCCGTATTCCTTCTGAAGAGGTAGAAGGAACACTGGATACATATGTACCAAGCGATAAGGTGCTAAACCTTATTCAAATTCTCCCACTTGGAGATTGGATAAGATTTCAAACTCACATCGGAACCGGGGCTCCTATGCCTACGTAAATCCAGACGAAAGAGAACAGAATGGCAGAACTGGGGGTGGAATGAAAAGGGGGATCCGCCTACAATCTCTATGTAGCCACAAGAGAAAGAATCCCAACTCCTTCTGAGTGCCATTGACCCTTATCCCGTGGTGGGATTCAGCCAGTTCACACCAGTTTGGGGAGAACCGGTTGCTAACTTTCTGAGCAGATTGGTGAACTGGTTGTTGGAAGAAATCATTATGGGTTGTTAAATTATTTGAATCCCACCACTGCCCTTATCTAACTCTAAGCAGATGCCAACCCTTAATTGAGAAGTTTCCTGTGCATGGGCTTTTAGCAATATATCAGTTTAATTGAACCTTTATGTATGGATCCGGTCTTTTGTGCCTGACACCAGAATAGCAAAGCAGAAGTAACTGTTTCCCCAGCCAGTACAATGTTTTAAATGCAGGATACATTTTCACCAAGGAACATGCAGGATGTTGGCATACAGAAACAGCAGATTTGGCAGCCGTGGTTTCCCCACACGCAGCCAAGTTCATTTTTGTGGGCAGAGCACCAATCACCAATGCACGCACGTACACGAAACAACAGAGCCCAAAATTTATATTAGCTTATTTGACCTCACTTGGACTGTAACTCGGTAGACAGTTGTAAGACACCTTGCGGATACAATAATCACAGCCAGAATAAGGCAGGTTTCCCCTGATATCCATGCTCAGTCGATTGTAGGATTAATTCTGTGTTGGTCACTGGGACCAAAGGTTTATTCTTCCAAGTTTTCAGGCTCAAGGTAGAACCTACCCTCGGGAAACTTAGAAGCCTAGGGCACGGCAGCAAAAGGAAACAACTAATGACTTAATAGCTGGCCATCAATTTCCTAATTAACAGCTGAAAGAAACACAAGCAGGCACCGTACAAACACAATGCTTAGAATAAGTCCAGTGCACACATTCTGGAGAGTGGGTGGGAGGGAGAGAGAGAGGAAAAGAGGTAGAGGGAGAGAGGGAGTGGGAGGGAGGGAGAGAGGAAGAGGGAGAGGAGAAAGAGAGAGAGGAGGGAGAAAGGGAGTAGAGAGGGAGAGAGAGAGGAAGAGAGAGGGAGGGGGAGGGAGAGGGAGAAGGGGAGAGAGAGAAGGGAGAGAGAGAGGGAAGGAGAGAGAGGGGGAAGGAGAGAGAGAAGAGAAAGAGAGGGAGGGAGGTTCTCTGAGGATGGGCTCCAGCATGAGCCCCAAAACCTTGAAGAATGAACCTTTGGTCCCGGCGACCGACTCAGATTGGATCCTGCAACATTATCCTGGGACATGTGTATTTCCCTTCATTCGTCGGTAGATTGTCCTGTTGGGAGCTCAAAACTGTGTCTCAGTTGAATTAAGACTCCTGGCTTTCCTGCAAATCTCGCTTTCCAACCTACCTGAGAAATTCCCCTTGGCCAGACATTCTTTCACCCGGTTGGTTCTCCTGACGTGGAAGGCTTTGGTGATCTCCTGGTTCATGAACGCCTCGTTGTTGAGGATGTTCGCCACCATCATCCTGAGGTCAAAGACTTCGAGCAGCTCAGCAATGTGGGCGATATGCATGAGATCCCTCTCGTTCTCATCCAGCTCCCCGGTGTAGAGATATTTGAGGACGGCCCTGAACGGTCCCAGCTGGATGGAAGGGTCCATCTTCACTACCACCATCAGCCGGGGTTTGTAGGTCATGGGGTCGTCTGCCATCTCCTCCTGGATGCTGACAAAGGCACGGCTCCAGGAGGAGAGGAGCCTCCCCCGCTTTAGCCCTCGTTCCCCGTAGTTCTTGCCCCGCAAAATCCCATCGCTGGTGGAGGCTCTAAGGCACGTTTTTTGCTGGCCGGAGCCAGCTTCTTCAGTACTCTCGCAGATGTCGAAACTCGCAGCCCTCAAGAGGAATTCCCGCCCGTGGTGGTGTCGTTCCTGAGGAACCGTCCGCTCCGCGGCCCCCATCCTGAGGCTACTGCCCGCCATCTCCTCTTGGTCCCCCTCGTCCAGGTCCATCAGGAACAAGTCGTAGAACTTGGAGGAGGCGGTGGAGAGGTAGATCTTGTGCGCGTAGATTTTGATTCTCTCTTGCAGCACCAGGATGACATCTGCACACAGAGGGTCTTCCAGCAGGTGGGCCGGGCACTCTTCATTGTTAGAAGGGGGGTCGGGGACTACGATGATGGGGGGAGGAGGCTTGGGAGGCAGGAAAGGGGCCTGGAGCAACGGCCGTTGAACATTACGGAGGTGGGATTTCCAGAACTGGAGATGCCGCCGGGAGATGAGGGCAGCTCGGATGGCGTTGTCGAAGACATCCTTGATGCCAAATTGGGCTACTACACTGGTCTCATAGTAAGGGATGCCCAGCTCTTTGGCTACCTCTCGTCCCTTCTCCGGGGGAAGAATTTCATTTGGTTTGATTGGCCTGGAAGAAAAAGGAAATAACAAAGGTCTGACGTTAGCTGAGCAACCAAAACTCAAAACGATAGGTGGGGAAAAGGAGGATCTAACTGGAAGAGGGACCCAGTGGCTCAATGGAAGGAAACCCTAAACCCAGAGTCCTACCTGGCTAAAGGTCTCCTGGCTCGGTTGACTGCTTCCAGGTCAGCATAGCGGAGGTCGAGCTGGCAGCCTACCAAGATGACAGGTGCCCTGGGACAGAAATGCTTAATCTCAGGGTACCACATGGTCTTCACATGGTGGAGGGAGTTTGGATTAGCAATGGAGAAACATAATACTACGACGTCAGATCTGTGGGAAGAAAGGAGGCAAGAATCAATGACCAAGGACTGTAAGAGTTTGCCCTGAATGATGGCCTCTGACCCCGAGTTACTTTATAACTCAGTAAAAAATGTTCAGCAAAAAAAGTTCTGTATCCACTTTCAGGACCTACCTTCCATAAGCAAAGCGTCTGTCTTTGTGATGGTCCCCAAAGGTATCCCAAAGCCTTAAGGAAACACTAACATCATCTACAACATCTCGGGAACGTTCCAGTACCTGGGAGAAATTTTAAAAAAAGAAGATTATCTTCAGACAAAGGGACAATTAACCAGCCAGTGTACCAGACCCTGGCTGCTCTTTAGAAGGCCAGACCCTGAAGATGAAATTCAAAGACTTTGGCCACCTGATGAGAAGGAAGGACTCACTGGAGAAGAGCCTAGTGCTGGGAATGATGGAGGGCAAAAGAAGAAGAAGAAGGGGACGACAGAGAAGGAGGTGGCTGGATGGAGTCACTGAAGCAGTAGACGTGAGCTTAAATGGACTCCGGGGGATGGAAGAGGACAGGAAGGCCCGGAGGAACGTTGGCCATGGGGTTGCAATAGGTTGGACATGACTTTGCAACTAACAACGAGTGTGGGGCTGAAGGTGTTAGACTAGGGAGGGCGGAGACCCAAATTCTAATCATCACTCTAGAACAGAGGTGTCAAACTTGATTTCATTGAGATAACATCAGGGTTGTGTTTGACCGCGGGGGGCCAGGATGGGTGTGGCCAGCTCAACATGACTCATGTCGGGGTGTCTGTGGTGGCCCTAGTGCTTCTGCCAGCAAAAACAGGCTCTCAGGCTCAGTTTTCAGCTGCCACGGCCTCCTACAACCCTCTGCCAGTGAAAACGGAGCTCAGGAGCCCATTTTCACTGGTAGAAGCACAGCTGGCCGGTCCTTCACTGTTTCCAGGGTGGCCCCATGGGCCAGATCCAGGGGTGGAATTCAGCCGGTTCAGGCCAGTTCGGGTGAACCGGATGTTAAATTTATATCAGGTTCACCGAACCAGTAGTTGAACCGACTGGCCACCCCTCACCTCACCTCCCAGGAGTCTCCACGTTGCCCATTTTGGATGCAGGTAAGGGCAGGAGTCTTCACGGAGACTCTGGGAGAGCAAAAAGTGGCCCTCCCAGAAGTCCAGAAACAGACCTGTTTCCGGCTTCCAGAGGGCCTCTGGAGCTCAGGCAAGGCCATTTTCGCCCTCCCAGAGGCCCAAGGGAAGCCTCCGGACTCTGGGGAAGGCGAAAACATCCCTCCCGGAAGTTCCGGTAGGCCACGCCCTCCATGGCCACGCCCACCCAGCAACCAGGCAGAGAACCTGTTGTTGGGATTTTCAAAGCCCACCCCTGGCCAGATCTAAATACTCCGCAGGCCTGATCCGGCCCTCGGGCCTTGAGTTTGACACCCCTGCTCTAGAGGAGTTTGAGGAGGATAGACCAGACAGACTCAGGTTCTGAGTCCCCCCTACAGGCTCCTTGGGTGGGTGGGGGTGTCTTTAGGTCTTTGTTTCAGCCCAACTTTGCAGGATTGTGGTTGTGGGGAGAAGAATAGGGACCACTGTGTGTGCCAGCAAGAGCATCTCTACAAAAGATGGGATGTTTATGTCACAAATAATTTCCTTTCAGTTTTTCAGCCTACGAATCTGTAACATGGCTTTCGGGAAAATAAATTAAGAAACATCTCAATTTTTGGTTCCTCCTAATATTTCATTAAGGAAAAAATAAATGTGAACGTTTTCATCAGAACCAAATCGGAACAACCCTGGAAAAAAAAAAACCCTATACCACATCATAAATTTATTGTTAGAAGATGTTGTTGCAGTTTAGGCCCAAAAAAAGACCTCTTTAAAGCTGGAGATGATGGGGAATAAAAGAGAATAAAAGGGAATAAAACTTTTTTATAAGAGTTTTTTTGTTTTTGTTTTGATGAAGAGCATCCAAAAACTGTAGTAGGGGAAGAATAAGGACATTCAATGGTAGGAAGGGGTCCAGATTTTGTTGACTAGTGTAGAAAAAGTTCTCCTTTTTTTTTTCCAAGTGTGCAATTTATTTTCCAAAAATCTGCACACCACTCGTTTATGGTTTTACACACACGCACAAACGAATAAGAAATAGTGCCTTCGTTTTTTTAAGAGTTTGCCATGACAATGAAGTTTAATGTAGAGATTCAGGGAGTTGTATCAGCAGGTTACCTCCACCGCTTTTAAGAGTCCCAAAGGAAGGGTTGTTGTTTTTTTCTACACCATCACTTTCCCCTTGATATACCCATCAGTGAAAATGCCACTCACCTCCTGGCAAACACGGTACTGATCAATAGCCCAGACGGTGGGCACGTGGGTAGCAAGGAGCTGATATTGAGTCAATGTGGCATTACATGCGCGGGCACAGATGAGCCGAGTCTTGCCCACTGCGTTGTCCCCAACCACAACACACTTGATGGTTTCTACGTTTGGCCTTTCATAATCCATGTCAGAATCCATTAATTGGGACCTGCATCAAGAGAGGGAGAGGAAAGGAAAGAGAAAAGGGGCATCAGAAAGGGTGGGAGTTTTTTTTTTCTTTTCAGATGGAGGTCCAGATTGTCTTCCACAAGTGGGCCACACCACAATGGAAGGAATCAATAGTAATGGAATAGAATAGGGTGAATGAGCTGGAAGGGACCCTGGAGGTCTTCTAGTCCTGCCCCCTGCTTAGGCAGGAGAACCTATACCATTTCAGATTAAGTGACTGTCTCGTCTCTTTTTAAAAACCTCCAGGGATGGAGTGCCCACAACGTCTGAAGTTTAATTGTCCTCACTATTAGGAAATTCCTCCTTCGTTCTAAGTTGCTTCTCTCCTTGGTTAGTTTCCATCCATTGCTTCTTGTCCTGCCCTCAGGGGCTTTGGGGAATAATTTGACCACCCCTCTTCTTTGTGGCAGCCCCTCAAATACTGCAATACTGCTAGCACGTCTCCCCTAATTCTTCTTTTCTTTAGACTAACCAATAATCCTACTTCACAGTGGGACCTGCTGGAGGGGATATGCAATGATTTTTATTTATTTTATTTTGTCAAGTGATTATTAGATAACAGGTGTAAGTATAAACATGGTTATAAATACATGAAATGGATACGAATAAGAAACAATAGGACAGGGACGGTAGGCACGTTGGTGCGCTTATGCACGTCCCCTACAGACCTCTTAGGAAAGGGGTGAGGTCAATAGTAGACAGTCTAATTTAGATCTAATAATCTAATCATGATTCTCAGTTTTGGCCTTTGCAAATGGCAACACACACACACACACACACACATACCACCCTCAACTGGCCACCCAACTTTCCAAAGACTTGGGTAGTTGTTCTCCTCCAGGCTGAGATAATCCTCACCAGATCTTAGAAAAGAACTGAGAAAAGCCTTGAAAGGGGTTTGGGAACTTGGCCAGTGCCCCCACCCCTACCCAGCATGCATTCCAGCCAGTGTCCCTTACAAATTACTAAGCATTTCAGAGCATGTCTCAGTGCAGCTTCCGATAAGATGCATATCCTGGAAATTTGCTTCCCATCTCCTTCCTTCTCTTTGTTTCCTACACTGGTTATGTGAGACTCCCAATCTCACCTCCACCAAACCTGTCCCCCATCCAAGATTGGTCAACAACCTCTGCACTGAGTCTGACCCATTCCTCTGCCCCACAGCCAGCCAGCCATCCCATCTTCCTTTCTTCCTCTCTTCTCATATACAGGCATCCAAATGCATCACACCAGCAGCCTGTGGGGCTTAATAATTAAAATAGACGCTGTAATGCAGACCTCGGGCTGCTTGTTTAGCAAAAGGAACCACGGATACTTGGGATAATGGAATTTACAGCATTTGTTGCTGACTCAGAATAAAACAAAGCCTGGCTCCCTGCTTGGTTTTAAAAAAAAAAAGCCACTTGTTTTCCTTGGTAGGAAAGTTTATAACAAGAGTGTTACAACTGGCATCTGAATGGGAAGAACTCATGCAGTTAGAAAGATGCTTCTGTAAGCAAAGGGGGCATTCAATATGGTTGAACATTTGCCCTCAAGTGAAATTGAAGGAAGTTTGTGCCCTCTTATCTTCTATACTGGGATTTGGAATGGGTCATGGAAGCAGCTCAGCAGCCTGTAGCTGATCTAATCTAATGGTAGGAGTTTGAGAAGGAAGTTAACTTAACTCCAAGTCTTAAGGCAAAAATTGCTTCCAAGTTCCCCATTTCTCCGTACTTCTATGTTCTATGATGTGAGCTTTACATCATTCAATAGTGTAGAATACAGAATAGTGCTATCATGTCACCCCAGCCCTTCTCTTCATTAAACTAGATATACCTCGTTCCCACAACCATCGATTGTATGCTTTGGCCTCCAGACCCGTTATCATCTCTGTGGCTCTTCTCTGCACTCTTTCTATAATCCCTATCACAACCATTTTGGCAAGGGTCCCAGACCTTATGGCTGCCTGCACAGAACATGCTAAGCTTCATTTTACGTTTTGCCAAGTGCTTGTTGGTTGAGCTCAACAGGTTTATGAACTCAACAGATTTACAATTCAAAGTTTGGGGTTTTTAATCATAAACGAAAAAGGGTCGATTCAATAACCCAATTAAGCATGTTAGGCAAATCTACCCAGGTCACACTGCTTATCAGCACGGAGATTAATCTATGCTCGCTCAGTGCTACACACATGGAAATGGCCAATTGTACAGTATAGAATGTTCGCAGAAACAAAATAATATAGACTTGAGTCCTGAGAAATTTTCATAGCAAAAGGATAGATTTGGTGAAAGGCATTTAAATAAGGGTGCAATGACAGATGCTGGTGACAAAGAACCCCACTACGATGGTGGACTCTTAAAATAATAACCTCTTTATTGTTAGAAAATGTATCCAATGGATAAAAGAAAAGCGAAATAAAAGAATCACACGGGGGGAAAAGTCTTCAGTTTCTCAGCGCACAGGTTTTGAAAAGCTGAGTGTGATTCATTTATCCCAAAATAGGCCTCAAGTGTCAGGTATCCACTGATTTTATAAAAATGGTTTTTGTGATAAAAATAAGACCACACACCATATGAGGCAAAAAAAAGAGGTGTATTATTAGCTTTGTTCTTTATTGCTCCCAATACACGACATTGACAGCCAGAAGAGAGTTTGATAAGAATAAGAGCTTCTTTAAAAAAATATTAAGAGACTTTGAGACTACAATTCTATTTATGTTGTCCTTAAAAAGCAATCATGTATAGAACACGTCTCACCTTAGCAGGTAGCATTGTCCCAAAGCAATTTAAACATATTTCTATAGGATTTCACATTGATTTACACAACCTAACCTCCCCAGGAGTGGGAGGATGAGGGAGTAAGTATAATTCTAATACTCAGTATAAAATACAAATATAATATGTAGGAGTATTGAGAACCAAGTTTAAATTCCCACTGAGCCACAAAAGGTTGCAAGGTAATTGCAGGCCACTGTACTATATGACATGATTCATGTAGTACGTACTACTTAAAATATAATTTATGTGACCTTGGTGCATTGAATAAACCACAGTCTATAAAGCATCATATATAACCCCACCATGGATGGGTTCACACAATATATTAAGCCAGAACTGAAAAACCCAGGTTGTGTGAAACCAGACAATTCAACCTGCTCTACCTCCTAGATTTACTCAGAGGATAAAATAGGGGGAAGTAGAATGGCATGCCTATAATCTGGAGTAAATACACAGTACACAACAGACACCATTAAGAACCACTTGCTCACATTAACCATTAATTCAGGAGCAATAAACAAGTAATCACCAGTTTGGTATAAGTGGTTAAACTCTGGCTGGAGAATTCTGAGAGTTGAAGTCCACAAGTCTTAAAGTTGCCAAGTTTGGAGACCTCTGGGTTAAAGCATCAAGCTAGGAACCAGGGATGGTGAGTTCCGGGCCCACCTTAGCTACAAACTGAGCTGGACCACCTTTGGCCAGTCACTCTTCTCTGCCCTGGGAAGGAGGCAATAGCAGACCCCTTACTAAAACCATGCCAAGGAAACTGCAGGGACTGGGTCCAGGAGGGCACCAGGAATCAAGATAGATTCAAAGGCCGAAAAGAGGAAGGAGGGAACCCCCCCAAGTAACTCATACCCAGGGGATGAATATAGCCTGAAATTTTAGGCTATCATGATTTCATAGTGGCATGGTGGATGCTTGCATCTGTCCGAATCCCTTGGTAGACTTTCGGTCTTTTACCCTTGGTAAACTTCCCTTTTTAGCACATTTGGCCAAAGTAACAGAACCGAGTTTGTAATTCCGCTTTGGAAATCATTCCACGGGGTTGCAAGAGTTAAGAAGAACTCACCGCTAAGGTGCAAGATGCAGGGGCATATGGGACGGAAATAAGAGGAGGTCAAATTATTCACCAAAGCACCGGAAGGCAGGACAAGAAACAATGGATGGAAACTAGTCAAGGAGAGAAGCAACTTAGAATTAAGGAGAAATTTCCTAAGAGTGAGTGGTTTGCCTTCAGAAGGTGCGGCTGCTCCAATCTCCGGAAGCATTTAAGTGCAATTTGACTGAAATGGTATATGTCTAGGGTCTCCTGCTTGGACAAGGGAGTGGACTAGAAGACCTTCAAGAGCCCTTCCACCTCTGTTATTCTGTTTATGTTGTTGGAAAAAACAAAAAACAAAAGGAAGAACACTGCCTAGCGGGAATTCCAGCAGCAGCAAACAGGGCCGGCTCAGTTAGAGTCAGGTGCTATTTAACAAGGGGACTATCAATTCAATGCACAGACCAAAGCTACCCTCCTCTGGCCCATCTCCTTTCCTGCGACCCTTCATCAGATATTCTTCCTTCCGCACACACCGTGTATACATATTGCAAAAAACCTCTCGGGATTGCAGAGGGGACGCGGTAGCCATCTCTTTTCTTTCCACCCTATGGAGCAGGTCTGTTTTAGTTGCTCTTTTGTCCCAGGGCAGCCAATTCATTATGTTCTCCAGGATCTTGGGCTTCAAGCTCTGTAAATCACGGCCCCCAGATGCTCCAGTTCCCCACCTCCTCCCCGGGGGGGCTTGCTTGAGCCTTGACCCTTCTCCTTTCCAGACTCAAGTTTGTGGGCTTGCTGCTCTCGCTTGTCCCTCCTCTGTCATTCCAGCATCTGTCCCTGCTCGTCACTCCCTCCTGCTCCCTCGGTCGGTCAGGTCCTCAGCGCTCTGCTTACTAGAATTCCAGCCCTCCAAAATCTGCCTCGCTATCTCTTAAAGAGAGAAAGTCCCCGTGTTCTCGCAAGCTGCCCCAGTCTTCTGTTGCCAAGGAGACCACAGAATCACCAGGGGAGCCTAACTCGTTTCCTAGCAACGGGAGAGCTCAAAAATCCCTCCCATCATTTTACAGGAATGTAAAATGTAAAATATTTATTATTATTATTATTATTATTTTAAAAAAAGAAATGTATCTTCCTCCCTTTATCATGATTTGTTCAGAACTAGTCCTCACAACGTTTTGTGTCCAAACAGGACCTGGAGTTTTCCACTATAAAGGGCGTCGAAGGAAGAAGGCTGGTGGTGCGAACATCTCGTGTTCCGAACATCCCACCCGGGTGCAAGGGAGAAGAAACGGAGCCAAAGAACTCTGCAAAATTTCTGGCCAAAGCTGGGCTTGATTATTATGATAACAACGACAACCACGCAGACTGGGGGAGGAAAAAAAAGCAACCCCGTTTTGCAAAACAAGCAGAAAACGCGTGCGTATGTTTGCGCGTGCACACGCGGGCGGGCGGGCGGACGGACGGACGGACACGGCTCTTGAAGTGTGCTGCACATTTCTTCTACCACGCAAGCACCTCCAACTTGCAATCTGGAAGGCGACAGGGTTTCCTAGTTCAAACCAGACTCCCCCACCCCCGAGGCAAAGAAAAAAAATCCTCCTCGGGCAAAGTGCAAGTGTTTTCTTTCTTTCTTTCTTTCTTTCTTTCTTTCTTTCTTTCTTTCTTTCTTTCTTTCTTTCTTTCTTTCTTTCTTTCTTTCTTTCTTCTTTCTTTCTTTTCCTTCCTTCCTTTTTCTTTTTCTTTGCAACGATTGTCCGGAGATGCGCCACGGTTTTGTAAACAACTGTCACTACTCCGCGTCCCCTTCCTCCCCACCCCCCCCCCCCCCCCCCCCCCCCTCCCCCCCCCCGGCGCCCGTCCTTTTCCCCTGTGGGGAAGTAAGTGCACATGCACGGCGACCCGGAGCAAGTGAGGCCGCCGCTCTCGGCGGGTGCGTGACAGCCACGGGATCGCTCAAAGGACAGCGTCTCTCCCCCCACCTCCCCTCCCAGAGGACCGTTCCACTCCAACAGTGCGGGGCGCCGGAGGGCAGGAAAAACGGAGCTGGCACCGAGCCGCGCAGGACGCGCGAGGGCGCGCAGAGTGACAAGGCTGGGCTTCAAAGGGAGCCTTCCCAGTCCCCCACTCGCCCCTCTCCCATCCTGGCCTTTGGCCTCTCTCTCTCCCTCCCACTCTCCCCCCCTCCCTCCCTCTCTCTCGCCTCGGCCTCTCTCTCCCCCCCCCCTCTCTCCCTCCCTCTCCCTCCCCCCCCCCTTTCTCTCTCTCTCCCTCTCTTTCTGTCTCTGTCTCTCTCTCGGTCTCTCTTTCCGTCTCTCGGTCTCGGTCTCTCTCTCTCTCTCTCCGGCCCTCTCCCCCTTTCCCTCTCTCCCTCCCTCTTTCCCCTCCTCTCTCTCTCCCTCCCTCCCTCTCTCTCGGTCTCTCTCTCTCCCCCCTTCTTTCCCTCTCTCTCCCTCCCTCCCTCCCCCCTTTCTCTCTCCCTCTCTTTGTGTCTCTGTCTCTCTTTCGGTCTCTCTCTCGGTCTCGGTCTCTCTCTCCCTCTCTCTCTCCGGCCCTCCCCCCCTTTCCCTCTCTCCCTCCCTCCCTCTCTCTCGGTCTCTCTCTCTCTCTCTTTCTCTCTCTCTCCCCCTCCCCCTGTCAATCAGCCTTCTAGTACTCTGGTAAGGAGAAGCCGGGCGGAACAGCTCGCCCCTCCGCTAGCTAGAGGAAGCCGGGGAGAGAACCAGGCGGCGGGCTTACTTACACCAACACATCTGAAGGGGCAATTGGCGGCGGGAAGACGAGCCCAGCTCTTCCCTGGAGACATGATGCCGAGGGCGATAACGAGCGCTGGGCTCGGCCTCTTCTTCTTTCTTGTCCTTTCCCCTCCTTCTCTTTCCTCCTCTTCTTCTTCTTCTTCTTCTTCTTCTTCGTCTTCTTCCTCCGCCGCCGCCGCCGGGCCGAGGCCGCTGCAGGAGGTTCAGACTCCCCAGCTCAGCTGCTGCTGCTGCTGCTCGGGGATACGATGCCGCGCCGGCTCCGGAGAGGCTGGTGGAGCCCTTTGCGAAGCTCCGCCGGCCAGCATCTTCCCTGCCGGTTGCCCCGCGCTGCTGCACGCGGGGAAAGAAGGCTCGGCTGCTCCTCCAACTCTGCCTCGCTTCAGCCCACCCCAACCCTTTTTCCTGACCCGCCGAGGCGTCGCCTTTCCCTTTCCTCCCTGGCCTCGAGTTGCGGAGCAACTGAGCGGCGGGCGGGCGGGCGCGGGAGCTGCAGTCCTAGGCTGGGACGCGCCCAAACGCTTATTTTCATTCACAAAAAGAAAAGGAGACGGGGGGGGGGGCGGGCGGGCGGGCGGGGAGGGGGAGGAACACCCAGGAGCGCAGTGGCAAGCTCCGCCTTGCATCCCCCCGGCGGCTGCAGATTGGCTGAGAGCGAGCGGAGTCGAGGGGAGGGGAGGAGAAGGGAAGGGGAGGGAGGAGGGAAGGGGAGGGTGGGGGCTCCGAGCGAGCCAAGCCGGGTCTTCCTGGGCAAAGAGGCAGCGGTGCTGTCCGCGGTAGATTCCCAGAAGCATCAACGCGCTCCAGGTTGCAGCGATCTTTCGAAGGGGGGTTACCTGGAGGATGTGGGTGGGGACCCCACTAAACCTATGGGTGAGGTTAAGTGGGAGAGAAGAGGGGGGAAAAACTGGGGGCTTTCTTTCTTTTTAGGACACTAAAGAGGCTAATTTCCCCCTCTGTTTCCATTGGGAAAACGTTGGCAGGGCTTCAGAGGTCTCCAAACTTGGCAACTTTTAAGACTTGTGGACTTCAACTCCCAGAATTCTCCAGGCAGCTATGCTGACTGGAGAATTCTGGGAGTTGGAGTCCACAAGCACTGGCTGGAGATTTCTGGGAGTTGGAGTCCACAAGCACTGGCTGGAGATTTCTGGGAGTTGGAGTCCACAAGTCTTAAAGCTGCCAAGTTTGGGGACCCCTGCTCTAAGCACATCTCTCGAGATTTCAAAAGGCATTTTGCCGGTTATTATACCTAATTCCAGTAGTATTGTTAAGGCAAGGAAAATAAGGAGACCATCTACAAAAAGGGATCTGAGTTTGCTCTAGGACTTGGGTCAAATGTGTGACCCTTACTACACACATGCATTGTAGGCTTCAAGCTAGAGGTCTCTAAACTTGGCAACTTGAAGACTTGTGGACTTCAACTCCCAGAAGCTGCCTGGAGAATTCTGGGAGTTGAAGTCCACAAGTCTTCAAGTTGCCAAGTTTGGAGACTCCTTGCTTTAGAGCAGTCATTCTGGAAGGTGGGCTCAGCTGCTACTACAGGGGATCCTCGACTTACAACGGGCATGACCAAAAGTTACAACAGCATTGCCAAAAAGGGACTTGGGACTGTTTTTTTTTCCTACACTTACAACCGTTGAGGCCGCTCCGGATCAAAATCCAAACACTTGGCCATTGACTCACATTTAACAACGGCTGGGTTCTCCCCCAGGGGTACAGGAACCTTTTGGGAAGCCAGGGTCACTCAAGAACTATGTTAATACTACACAAATGCAGGGATTCAACTTAACCACAGTGGCAAGAGAGGTCATGAAATGGGGGGGGGGGGAACCTCACTTAACCAAAGTCTCACATAGCGGCAGAAAGTTTGGGCTTAATTGTGGTCGTAAGCCAAGGACTACCTGAATGCTCCATCCCTTAGGTCTGAAAGCAGGCTGTGTCTTCCCAAGTTTATGCTGCTTTGCAGATCAAAAGGCTGGAGAGCTAAGCTTGGCCAACAGAAAGGAGTCCCAGAGGAATGGGCATTGGCTGCCCATATTTTCGACTATATGGAGAAACCCCCTCTCCCAGGATTGGCTAACCCTCTGTCCTAAATAAATAAATAAAAATTTCCTGAAATCCAGAGTAACATCTTGGAGCTGCACTCCTCTCTTGCAGGAACAAAAGGCGCCCAGTTAAAAACAACAACAGCAAATAACTCGGGCAGACAGTTACATAACCAATGCTAGTTTTGCAGTTAGGACTGTCCTGGAGAAAAAAAAAAAAAATCAAAGCTGACTAAGTTTGGAGCAAGTTCCTTGTCCCAAGAGCCTTGTGCCCGAGTGAAAAACAAAAATACCCTGTGGAATTTCCTTTGGAAAATAGGTCCCAGGAAGGAGTCAGCCCTACCCTTATAAACCATCTCCTGCACAAAACTACGAAGAGGCCATCACAAGAGCAGGATTTGCACAACACCACCAAGTAGCTGCATTTAGCCAGGCCTCTTGTGCAAAAAAACAGCTGTGATCCCCCTCACTAGAAGCCATCCTCTGAGGGTGGGGGTCCTCAAACTTGGCAACTTTTAAGACTTGTGAATTCTGGGAGTTGAAGTCCACAAGCCTTAAAGTTGCCAAGTTTGGAGATTTCTGCCTTAGGAGGTGGGGTCTGAGATCCTGTCCTTCGGGGGGGTTCCTCTCTGTGCTCCACTGGGCTTCTATAGCCTACAAAGCCCCTGGCTTTTATCTGTAGCCACAGCTACAGCTAATCAGAGTTGGAAGGTCATCTAGTCCAACCCCGCTGCCCAAGCAGGAGACCCTACACCATTTCTGACAGATGGGGCTCCAGTCTCTTCAAGTGATGGCGCTCCTGCCGACGCTCTTCCCTCCACCCTGCAGCCCTGCCAGTTGGCTTTCCTGGGAGCCCCCTCTTCCCTCCCCAAATTTTGCCGCGCTGTCACCCCCACCCACGTCGTCCCCCCCACATTTTTTTTGCCACCTCAGTACAGAAAACCCCCAAGAAAAGCTTTAGCCATCCCTAAAGCCTTTAAAGGAAGAGAGGAGTCGGGGGGTGGGAGGCGAATTCAAGGCCAAGCAGCAAACCGCCGGGGCTCTTTGGCAGCCTGTCTCAGCTGCTGTGACCCAGCACATCGAGGATCACGTGACTCCCCTCGCCGAGACTTGGTTGCAACGCCCCCCCCCCCCCCCCCCCCCCGAATGCATAACGAAAATAAGCTCGTTCCTGCTTCTCTTCGTGTTCGGATCAAAGCAATCCCTCCGAGCCGCCCGGCGGGCCCGAGCCGCTGATGCAATGCCGCGTCAGCGAGCGTCAGAGCAGCACCCGCATCTACCTCACTGCACACCTTTTGCAATCCAATCACAGAGGCCGACATGTCCCCTTTCTCCCCCCCCCCCCCCCCCCTCCGGCTTCCAGCACCCCGTTCCCCCCCCCCCCCCCAACTTCCCTTCCCCCCATTGCCAGCTCTGCTCTCGAGCTGCCTTCTACAACTCCCCTCCCTTTCTTCTCCCTTTCTCACCTAATTCGCAAGACGGGCATCTCTCTCGCCATCGCAGAAGGGTCCCTTGGATGACTTGGACTGGGGAGTGGCGATCCTCCAGTCTGGAGGGTCCTTTTCGGTGGTGGTGGTGGTGGTTGCTGTTGTTATGATGATGATGATTTTGAAAGTTTGGGCTGGGCTTTGCGAGGCCGGCTCCCTTGCCAACCTGCCCCCAAGAGCTTTTGAGTCAGCAACCACTGCGGGCTAACCCGGCTAACCGCTGCCAGTTCTCCTCCTGCATGGAGCTGGAATGAGAGCTCGCAGGCACAAGCGGCTGAGTTATAGGCTTTTGAACTTCCTTGTGGGAAAGGGTCACCGAAGGGGGAAACGCGCACACACACACACACATACACACACCACCATCACACACATAAAGCCAGCTTTGCCACTTGCATGATTTGGCTCATTTGCTCCTTGGAGCAGGTGCTTAACTCTGGTATGAAAAGTTCCTGGCGGCTTTTAACTTCGGTCTGGGAGTCTTGAATGGAAGCATAAATTGTGACATAGGTCAAAATAATTCTTAAGTAACATGGCTGGAGCCTGTTTTTCTCCAAGCCAAGAGCTGCTCTGTCAGACAGGAAGGTATCGGAGAGAACAAGGACTAATGAAGGTGGGAATGGAGTTGAAATCAATAAGCAAAGAGGCTGCTACTATATCCATCTACCCTACTATCCATCCTCTAACACAGGGGTCTTCAAACTTGGCAAGTTTAAGGCTTGTGGACTTCAACTCCCAGAATTCCTCTTCCAGTCATGTTAGCTCAGGGATTCTGGGAGTTGAAGTCCGCAAGTCTTAAAATGGCTGACATTGAAGACCCCCATGCTAGTCCAGGGGTCTTCAAACTTGACAGCTTTAAGACCTGTGGACTTCAACTCCCAGAATTCCCGAGCTAACATGACTGGAGGAGGAATTTTGGGAGTTGAAGTCCACAGGTCTTAAAGCTGTCAAGTTTGAAGACCCTTGCTCTAACACCTGATGAAAACATGCATACATCATTAAGGCAGGGGTCTTCAAACTTAGCTTTGAGACTTGTGGACTTCAACTCCCAGAATTCCTCCTCCAGTCATGTTAGCTCAGGAATTCTGGGAGTTGAAGTCCACAGGTCTTAAAGCTGTCAAGTTTGAAGACCCTTGCATTAAGGGGTCTTTGGTCCCTCTGAGCTTGGTGATTTTCTTGTAAACATTTCATCACCCAACCAGATAACATCATCAGTGTTGGAAGGGAGCCTAATAAAATCATGGTTTGGTTTTGTTCCTCTAATCAAGGAACCGTCAAGAACATTTCCAACGACACTGGCAAATGCAACCCATTGTATAAAAGCAGAGAACAAACCTCACTGCCTTCTAGCACTGATGATATTACCTAGCTGGGTAATGAAACATCTCCAAGAAAACCACTAAGCTCAGAGAGTAACAAGGGCTCCATTATTCAACCCTGAGCTACAAATATTCTGTTCTATTAATAAATCACTAAGCTTGACAGAATGAATAACCCAAACCTAGACTTATCAAAGGGCTATGCGTCAGTCACAAATTATGTAACATGTAAAGATGTCACCAATTACCAAGAACCTATACACCTGTGAAATGGGTACATTTTTTGCTTCATTTTAAAAGACAGTCTAGGGGAAAATATCTGTATAAATTCTTTGTACACCACCCAGAGTCTCTCAGTGAGCAGATGGATGGTTTCTAAATCTGATAAATAAATAAACACTTGGAAGGTACTTGTGCAATTAAATTCTCTATTATATTTCTGTGTAACTCAACTAAATGTACTGGACGTATTCACATGACATTACGAATTAGAAAATTGCATGTTATATGAACCTAGCTTACGTGA